CGACTCTGATATCCGTGACAGTATGCATACTCGGCATGGGCGCCCCAATTCGCGCAACAAATGAAGATCTCCTCCACCGAAAGCAACTTCATTGTAAGCCGCCCGTTGCGCCCGTCACCCAGAGTTCAACGTTAATTGATAATACTTCCAGGGTGCGGCTGGGAATTTGGGCATGTATGCATCGGGAATCCCGTTGGGTCTGTTGACAGATGCTCGGGGTCCGCGTCTGACGACTTTCTTGGGTGCAATCACGCTGGGAATTGGCTACTATCCCATCTATCTGGGTATGCCCTATATTGAACCCCTGCGGACCTTGGAAACTAGCTGACGTCGGCATATACAGCATACGTCAAGGGACCCGGGTCGATGGCCATTATCTTCCTGTCTTTTTTCGCTTTCTTGACTGGCTTCGGAAGTTGCTCAGCCTTCTCAGCATCTATTAAGACATGTATGCCAAGCCTTTCCAATGGGTCTGTTAACTTGTATGGCTGACAACATCTTTTAGCGGCTTCCAACTTCCCCGATCACCGTGGAACAGCGACCGCTTTCCCCTTGGCCGCTTTTGGGTTGAGCGCGTTCTTCTGGTCCACCGTTTCCTCGGTTCTCTTTAAGGACGATACTGGCCGCTTCCTCCTTTTGCTGGCTCTGGGCACCTGCGCCCTAAACCTCGTTTCGATCCCGTTTCTTCGTATTTTGCCTCCTAGTGAGCCGTATATGCCACTCGGACGGGGCAGGTCCCCTGGCGTAGAATCTCAGCGACTGCGCACTACTAGATCTACAGAATTCCGGCACAGCCTGGAAGAATCTGATGAAGCAGGTACGCAGACCTTTATAACCTATGAATCCTGTCCCGCAGCGCGTGACACATCGCACTCGGTCGTGTCGAGTCCCCATCACCCCGGCCACAACCCCGATATTGACGAAACATCCTCCTTGGTGTCCAAAGTTCCCTCACGCTCATCCCGAGAATTCCTCAACCAACACGAGGAGGATGACGATGCTCTCTCCGATGTTGCTCCCGAATCCCCTCATCCGGACGTTCGCGGCTTGGCGATGCTTCCGAGGATTGAGTTCTGGCAACTCTTTTTGACGATGGCTCTTCTTTCTGGAATTGGTTTGATGACTATCAAGTTAGTACCATCATGTTATCTTCACATAAATTTGATGCTAACCGGTCAATAGCAACATTGGAAACAGCGTAAGGCAACTCCGCACAATCCCATTCATGTCAGCTGACTGTATTCTTGCAGGCCAAGGCACTTTGGCAGTACTACGACGACAGCGCAAGCCCGAAGTTTATTCAACAGCGCCAGGTTATGCATGTCTCGATCCTGTCTTTCGGAAACTTTATTGGTCGACTTTCTAGCGGTATGTCGCACCTTCAATGCTCATAACTGGCTTGGTGCTAACCTCCTATAGGTATTGGCTCCGACCTGCTGGTGAAGAAGCTGAACATGTCGCGATTCTGGTGCTTGTTCATCTCCGCCTTTGTCTTCACCGTCACCCAACTTGCAGGCTCCGCCATCTCCAACCCTCACCAATTGGCCATTGTATCCGGTTTTACCGGCATCGCATACGGCTTCCTTTTCGGCGTCTTCCCGTCGCTGGTCGCCCACACCTTTGGCATCGGTGGGCTCTCCCAGAATTGGGGTGTCATGACGCTTGCGCCCGTGTTCAGTGGCAACGTCTTCAATCTGCTCTACGGCAGCATCTACGACCGCCACTCGATTGTCGAGCCCAACGGAGACCGCGACTGCCCGGATGGTCTGGCTTGCTACCAGTCTGCGTACTACACGACGTTCTTGTCCGGTGTGGCCGGTGTGGTCGTCTGTCTGTGGAGTATCCTCCACGAGAGACGCATCCACGGTGCGATGCACAAGAAGGTTGAGCATGACCGACTTGCTTAGATTGGAAGAATAGTTTGAAGCCTTAGGAGTAAGAGGCTGGAAGCGGTGACTTTTATTTTGTCTTCCTCGTAAATATACCCAGGGGATATGTGCCGATTTAACAGGCAATTTGGTTGGGATTTTCAACATAGAGGGTTCACAATTTCATATAGACAATCATTGATTTTCAAAGTTGTTTCCGATAACTTCATCGTATGGGCAGTGCTGCCGTTTTAACTAGGGTATAGCCAACCGTCAGTGTACTCCGGTTCACTGAACCCTCCATCATAACATATGGGCTACTACACAATGTTCCAACTTACATTGTCCACCAGTGTATATCCCTTAACTCCTCTCTTCCAACCACACTACATACATAATCTTACACAGACTTCTATCTACCACAATAAGTAAGTTGTAATACATCAATACATCAATAATCCTCCCCCCTCACCCACTCATCCTCCATCAACAACTCCCTCGCACTCGGCCTCTCACCAGGAACCCAGCTTAACGTTTTCCGCAGAAACCGCAGAAAAAGCCTCTTCCTGTCGCCTTCGAGTCGCGTCACTCGATCATCCAGGGATCCTCCCGGAATCTCTACGTGACTCTTCCAATTACCTATATACACACAATCAAACTAGTCAGCCAAAACCCAAGCTTTTCACTAGTATAGATAGATACTAGGGATAGGTAAAAAAGACATACCATCTCGATCCCAGAACCTCCAACTCTCCTCGCTCCGATCCAGAAACTCACCCGGTGGCGGACCAAGCAGGGCTATCATCTCTGCGAAGCGACGAGCATGATCATCCTGTGTATGCAGGTGTGGGGTGTTGGTGAAGAGGTGATTTGATTTGAGTAGGGACCATGCCTTAGCGTCATTCATCGTAAGTTTACTTCAAGAAGTTGGTAGGTAGTTAAGAAACTGTACCGTCTGCCCCAAAGCCCATATATCCACCTTCTCATCCCACTCCATATTAAGCATTACTTCCGGGGCTCTATACAACCCCGGCATGATGATGAAACCACTAGTCTGCGTGCCCGTATCAGAGGGAAGTAATCTCGCCTCCCCCAGATCAGCGAGCATAGGTTCCCCGGTCGGGAAGGGCATTCCTCGCGTAGCGTAGATCGTTCTATTATCCGGAAGATGTTTCCGCGGAGCAGGCTCGTTGAGTTCTTCTTCTTCTAGGTCGGTTAGGATTGAGGTGTCTTCGATGCCTAGGAGGATGTTGGTTGGTTGGATGTCTGTTGTATTATGCTTAGTAAACTATCTATGGATTAATGTGAGAAGGGGAGAGAGGAGGGGAGAGTGGGGGTCAATGGTTTACCTGTATGAACCACATTAGCCGAATGGAGATAATCCAGCGCAATGAGCATAAACCGGATGGTAACGCGGAGGAGATCCTCCGGTAATGCGTTGCCTTCCAGACACTGGATGTAATCGCAGATGTCCATTCCGGATGGCTGGTAGAGAATACATGGGTGGATTCCGTGGGGACCTTGGATCTCGAAGGAGTCGTGGACGAGGCGGGTGTATTTCTGGCCTACATGTTTACTATGTTCGACTTTGGTGTGGAGGGTTTGTTTTAGGTGTTTGGATATGCGGATCTCCGGGAGGTGGGTGTGTTGGGTGCTGCGGACGTGGAGTTTTAGGGTTAGGTAGGTGTTGGCTCTGGAGTAGTTAGTTGAATTGGGATTATGGGGATGATTAGGAGTAACTAGGTCAGTGTATGTGTGTGAAGGTAGTATGCATACTGTAGATCACGACATAGCCAGACGGTGGATGAGGATCCGAAGCCGAGTTTGGTGATGACTTGGTATTGGGAATTGAAGACTTCACCGATGTGGACGGGGTAGAATCGCTCTGCTCGGTAGTCGGGGAGAGTTTCTTCTTCTAGTTTGGGGATGTGATTGAGGAGTTCGTATCCTGTTGTTGGGAATGTACGTGGTGGTGATGGGGATGGGTGGGAGCTTGTATGTCTGTGTTGACTGGGTTGAAGGGGAGAGGTGATAGGCCATCGTGGTGAAGGTTTAGGATGGCTGACAATGCGGATGGACAATCTACAGATGCGCAGTATCATCTTCATAGCTGCGTGAGCTATCTGAGTGGTGATGATTGAAGCGCTACATTCATAGATAGAGAGACACGTGCTCTGTGTCATGTGTCTAGACCTATCGACATGCATCCCTGTTCTGCCTATTCGAGATAACTCCGATTATTATCCGTTCTCATCACTGACACTTTAATCCTCTCCCAGCCAGGACTGCTCTACAAAGAAGATTTCCTGATGCCAGCATCATGGATGCGCCCTTACATTTGACTGGAAGATAGGAAGAGACATCCAGATGCCTATCCATCTACCTCCGATAAGTACTAGAGCCAACGAGCATTGCGCTCCAAATGGCGACATCCCCCTACATGCACTAAGTCATTACCCACCATTACCCCCTCACCTACCAATATACTCTATCTAAACATAAACCCAGATAACAATACTCTCACCAACCCAACAATAGGTTAGTATAACCGCATCCCTCTCCTTCAAAAGCGGGGAACCCTCCAATCAGCACATTCCCGACCGTCGGGAATCCGGGTAATGAACAACCCCCAAGGGCCTAAATTACCATATATAGAAATATAGATAGATCATAGATAGGACAAAAATCTGCTTATGGTTATAAACAAGCAAATTTGAGTGAGGAGATGCCGATCAACGTCGTATCCCCGACGGACAACGAATCAGGTTGGGCCAATAATAAAGGGAGGATTTGCGTGATGGGCATTGATAAGGGCAGATTGCAGATTGCATTGTAAGGAGGTCGGGTACAATTCCGGGTACTCCGGACTCGTGACCAGTGCACTTCATCCATCGCACTGATAAGGAAGGAATCGGATCGACGCAGTGGAGTAATGAGATGAGATGGAATGCCCAGGTTTGGGGGTTTCATCATTAAAGTGGGATGATATAGGGTCGGTGGTCTTTAGGAATGATTAGGTTAGGTTGGGTTACAATGAGGATACTGTGAAGGTTCCTTCCGCCTTCGGAAGTATACTAGTATGTGGTCACTCGGTACTGTTGCATCGGATGATCGGTATTACGATAGACAATATTGGAAGAAGACAGTAGTTAGATTCAGGGAGTTAATAATAACACGAATTACTTTGAACACATGTAAACCCTTTACAGGTCCTTTTCTTTTTCGCTCTTTCTGAGGGGTTTTTTGTGCGGTCGGGCTGGGATGAGGGGGTAGGTGCAGGCGCAGAATAATCTCTCCCCGACTCATATCGGAACAAATAGGATGAGTAGAAGAAGAGAAGGGGAAAGTGGCTCGAAAAGAAGGTTGTGTGATATAATTAGGTAGTTAATCCGATATACAGCCAGCCAATGACAAGACTCGTAAAGGGTATCAAAGAGACCGGGGAAGATCAGAGAACGCAGCACCGCAGACTGTGTGCGCATTTGTTTACGTCGGTGCTGCCCGACGCACGCATGCGCGTCCATCGTCCGAACAAAGACCCCTCCCGTGAGGCCTTAGACACTCTTGGGGGATTTTGTCGGCGATTCCGCAGGTTGCTCCACGACGTCGGACAGCCGCATCCGCTTGGCCAGCGGTTCGCCGGGACTGTCATTGCCCGCCGGATTGGCAGAGGAAGTCTGGTCGCTAAGCTGTCGCTCCAGCTCAGATATCCGCCGTTTCAGATCGTCTTCGCGCCGTTGGGCCTCCTCCAGAGACCGCCGGAGTCGTACCTCGGAGTCCCGGACGATCATCTCCGATCGGCGCGCAGTCGCGCCGCTCTGCTCCAGTTCCGTCACCCGGCCCCGGAAGAGTTCATTGATAAACTCCAATTCGCTCACGCGAGTCTTCAAAGAGGTATTGGCTGCGAGCAGTCCATCGTAGGTCTGTGGTGACTCGAGATGGCGGTCGACAGCCGCCGAGGTCGCCGTGGGCGAGGGCTGGCGCGGCTGCACCGAGGGTAGCGCATTCGGCTGATTGAGACCATGGTCGCCAATTGTGACACTATCGAACATGTGCTGGGGCGCAATGTTGGCATTGTGTTGCGACTGCGGGTGTGGTTGTTGCATGGAAGGGATACCAGGCGTTTCGGTTCGGGAGACGGGTGAGTTGGATCGGTCGGAATGGCCCGGTGATGCCTTCCGCGACGCGCGACGGTATCCTTGGGACCCCATGGGCGGCGTCCCTGCTTCGGACCTCGAGGTAGACAAGCCATTTGTATCGATAGCACCGCCGGACTGATAAGAGATTGATATGATTGTTAGCGACCCTTATCTCAGGTGAACGACGACAGTATACAGCCAGGGAAAATTTTTCTAGACGACCGACTCACCTTACGCTTAGGGCCCTGACCAGCAGTCTTGACCCGGTTGCGACTCTTGATCACATCGGTCTTTAGGCTTATCGGACGGGGCCTGCCATGTAGTTTGAGGAACAAGCCACAGGCGTTGCAAAGGACGGAGCCGAGTTCGTCTCTGCGCCAGAGAGGTGTCGTAGAAGTGCCGCAATTCTGGCACACAGGCTGTAATTGAGGACGTTTGTGATCAGCCAATGTGGTCGCCATCGTTTTTGGAACAGTAGTATTGCGCGAAGGAGAGGGGAGGGAAAGACAGAAGATGGGGAAGCGGACTGATAGTGGATGGAGGAGGAAGAGCGCTGGGTTGATAAGATCGGGAGAGATTTGATGGGCTGGCGCGATAAGGAGCAGGTGGTGCGGCGCCAAGCCCCCAGCGGCTGCTGATAACAGCAGATTGGATTGGCACAGAAAAAGAAACCCAGGAAATTAAGGGTCACCATGAACACCAGAAATTTCACCCCAGGCAAGAAGGAAAAAGCAACAAAACCAGCGTAGCTCGATAAGAACCATCGTCCTCCGATGATAAGATCATTTCAGTAACTTACAGGATTATTGCCTTGTCCACCAGTAGTGGCAGCCGGAGAAGATGTCGCGTATGTCATATTGGCCATACTGGGCTGCGCATTGCTACTCGAGGCTCTGTACACGTAAGACTCGTCAGCATAACCAGAGATACGGGCGCATTGGGCGTGTGAGCTTCAAAATTATCATATTGCCCCTTCGGACATGGCAGGGGAATCACGTATGATCTTCATTGCGATTCCCCTCTCATTCCGTCACCTGGTCTCGTTCTATGCAAACTCGCATAGGGAAAGGTTCCTGCTAGGTACACATACCGCAGATTGGAAGTAGGCGCGGATGCGACCGAGGCCAAAGCAGAGAGTCCAGGCAGAGATGGGCCCAGAGAGCTGGGAAAGGCACTACCGTTGCTGCTACTGCTCGGGCTGTGGGTGTATTTATCTAGAGAGCTCGCCTCGGGAAGCGTTCCAGAATACTGCGATGACGCTGATGATGCTCCCGCGCCAGTATCCGTGGTCGATTGACGCGATCCCGATTGACTGTCAGTCGAGGAGGAAGTATGTTTGTAGTTCGAGTCTTGAGACTGGGAGTTCGACGGCGACGGCGGACGAAGGGCTGGGTCGATGGGCGACGCCCGGAACAGGAGTGAAGCCACCGTGGAGGTTGTCGGAGGGAACTAGCTAGAAATCCGGCCCCAAATGACCGAATTGTAGACGATTCGAGGGGAAGTTTTCCGACGTTCCGGGAGTGGTATACGACGGTTTGAGAGGAAAGATTCGTGCCGTTGGAGAGGACCAGCCACGTCTGAAAGGGAGGAATGATATGGAATGTCGTTCAACTTTTTTTGGTTGACCAAATGTGATCAAACGATCAATAAACTTTTTTCAAGCCCGAAATGATTTTCTTTTTGTTCTTGATAATTGCTTTTGTCCGGCCCAAGGGACATCAGAGATTATACTCCAGGAGTAAAAGATCTCAGCACAAGGCTGTCTCGGGGACAAGTTGCTGCAAGTCGACCCAAGGAGCGATTGCTGAAAGGAGCGACAAGAAGGTGAAAAACAGAAGAATCCAAGCGGATTGACCGGAAAGGAATCATACGAAAGAAGATGATAGGGTTTGGGGAAGGGGATTCGAGACAAATCTGGAGGGGAACAGGATGGTCGGGAGGGAGAAGGAAGATCGAGGGTTGATTATCGGGGCTGCTATCGCGCGTCGGAGGCTATCGATTATTTATCGAAATGGCTCTGCGGAACCGCCGCTTGGCTGGGCCCAGCCGAGTCTTGGATACTCAGATTAAATCTTGGATAGGGATCCGTCACCCGTAGGAATTCCTCCTTATCACCTCCTCCCCAGTCAGTCCCGGGCTGTTGCTATGCTATGCTTCTGCTCTCCAAGGTTTATGCGCCTATCTAATAGTATGCGCGGGACGGGCCCGGAATGAATCTTCGCAATGTTGTTGTCGCGCCCCTGCATGCCCCTTTCCCACCAGCCTAGTATTTACTGTGATCGCCCCTGTGTTCTTTTGTCTTTCAAGCCTGTCCTTCAACGGCCAGTGACCATCATCACTCACGACTTTTCTATAGTGGAGTGGAGGCTGAGGTGGAGCTGAGCGTCAATAGCAGACTATAGTTGGCCGGCAGAGTGGCTGACCAGGACTCATGCTTGCTGTGATCGGAACCAGTCATGGTATTGCTGATTGGTGCGCAACCATTCGACTGTTGATGTTTTCCATTATAGCAATTCTTCATACATCATGCTACTGCACCTCGTTTCACTCTATCGGTCCATGTCTTAGATCGTAGCATAATCTCGTTGGAGAGACGAAGCCATGGCGCGCATATCGCGTGGAGTGTAAGTGCTGGAAAACGGCTGCCAGTGTCTGCACGGGGTCAATGGCAGGAGCTGTTGTCGATGAACTGGACGACAAGTATCCATCAAACATAAGACCCTGAAATATCTGGCTCAGTCTTGAAGAACAGATCATGGCTGTTACTATTTGTAGAAACAGAGACTGCGGAGTGAAGTAGTAGTTTGTGTGCTTTCTCACTCAACCCACTGACAAGCTGGATCAGAGGGGAATTGATAGCTCCAACTGAGCAGCAACCTTCTTGATATCTCTCCCCTTCCCCAGAAAACGTCTATTCCTTCTCCGGGGAAAAGCATCGCGTTGCGAGCCATCGATAATTCAGGGGCTTCCGTGAAGCTCGAGTGGATCCCACCGGCACGATACGACCAGCGGTGGCGGTGCGGTATGGTATGGTATCCGGGGTGTGGCTGATTTGGACCCTGACTGCCATGTGCTTGACTAAGCCGCCGTAATTGGTGGTACGGTGACGGTACGAGTGGTAATTGCGGCGAGCGGCCACTTCTTCAAGATGACAGCGGCGCTGCCTCGAACTCTCTCTCCGGCTCTGGATTCTTGGAATCTGCTCTCTCCCTCCCTCCCTCTCTCTGTCGCTCTCCCTACCTCTCCGTGGTCGGGGACTATCGCTTCTACTTCGTCTTTACACGTCTCTAATCCAGTAATGGCTTGAGTTTGTTTATCAATCATCCTTCCCCTTCTCGCCGTTCATTATCCACCTCCTACCTTAATTCTTTCCCTTGCCCCGTCGCCTTCATATGGTCCGAAAGTGGTTGCCTCCCGACTCGACTTGTCCCATTAGTTCATAAAATATCCCACTTCCATTCACTATGCCCAAAAGTAATCGGCCAGCGACCTCGGGCTACGCCCGCTTGGCTCAAGAGGAGGAAGATAGAGCCAATGATTTGTACGATTATTCCGACGATGACGACCTACACGCCCCCAGCACGATTTCCCAGTCTGCCCCCCGATATGCTCCCATCTCCTCCCGAGCCCAGATGCAGGCCGCCGGCCTGTCCACACCTCCCGAACACCGTCGACGACTGAGTGGCCAGTATCGCCGAGGACGAAGGAATTCCGGGGTCGACATTAAGGCCATTAATGCCCGTCTCGAACGGTGGGCGGAGGAGATCGCCTCCAAGTTCAAGATCAACCGTGTTAAGGGCAAGACCTTCGAGGAGGAGAAGCTGGAGATCTATCACTCTGTCTTCCAGGCTCCCGACGGAGTTCGGCCCATCTCTGCGGAAGCCCTCGAGTCGGATGAGATCGAGGGGGCTGCGCGTAGAGCCCGGGACGAGTTCGAAGAAGTTGTGGAGAGTGTCCGGATAGCCATTGAGATGGGTGTCCATCCGAGGATGATCTCACAAGGAAGCTCTGGTAGTTACTTTGCGCGCAATGCCGAGGGTAAAGTTGTGGGAGTGTTCAAGCCCAAGGATGAGGAACCATATGCATCCCGCAACCCGAAGTGGACCAAATGGATCCACCGAAACTTATTCCCCTGTTTCTTTGGCCGGGCATGCCTGATTCCTAATCTGTCATATGTCTCGGAAGCCGCGGCGTATGTTCTCGACTCGCGTCTTCACACGAACCTTGTCCCTTACACCGACATTGTTTGGCTATCTTCGAAATCCTTCTTCTACGATTTCTGGGACCGCAGGAAGGCTTGGATGGGCAAGAGGCCGCTTCCTCCAAAAGCAGGCAGTTTCCAGGTCTTTTTGAAGGGGTACAAGGATGCGAATCTCTTCCTGCGAGACCACCCTTGGCCAGACCAGACTAACACTGGTTTCCGAGCTGAGGATGCCCCGAAGCGCAAGAAGCGGCCGTGGAGTGAAGCTTGCCGCCCCTCAGGCGTCCATTCTGATGACGAGGACGAAGAAGAATATGAAGACGGTCAGGCACGCACGCCATCCCCCCGCGAGGAAAGCCGAGAACGGCGGTTTTACTGGACGGAAGGCTTGAAGCAGTCGTTCCGGGAAGAACTGGAGAAGCTTGTGATCCTCGACTATATCATGCGGAACACGGATCGTGGATTGGATAACTGGATGATCAAGATCGATTGGAAGACTGAAGAGGTTTCCATTGTCGCCGACCCGCCAAAGCCCAACGGAGTGCAAACACAAGAGGATGATGAAGACTTGCCGCCTGCTCGTCCCGTTTCTGTCAACTCCAACGGAACGACTGCAGCTCAGCATCCTTATCGGCGACGTGAGGCAATGGTAGCCGTTAGCCGTACTGGGACCCCATTGAACGCAACCGATCCCCAGGTGTCCGTTCAGATCGGAGCCATTGACAACAGCTTGTCGTGGCCATGGAAGCATCCCGATGCCGTAAGTCCACCGTTTTAATAACAATGCGATGTCACAAGCCTTACTAACCTGTCACAGTGGCGAAGCTTCCCGTTCGGCTGGCTGTTCCTTCCGGTTTCTTTGATCGGTCAGCCGTTTTCGCAGAAAACTCGCGACCATTTTCTGCCCCTTCTTACCTCGACGGCCTGGTGGAGCGGGACTCAAATGGCCCTCCGGCGGGTATTTTCGCAGGATTCCGATTTCAAAGAGAGCATGTTTGCTCGACAGATTGCCGTCATGAAGGGACAAGCCTGGAACGTAGTGGAAACGCTGAAGCACCCCGATCATGGTCCGCTGGAGTTGACACGACGGACGCGTGTGTGCGTTTGGGATGACTTGGTGGATGTTCCAGTCGCGATCCCCCTCCGCGGGCCGTCGACTGATGCGCAGAAACGGAAGGTGAAGAGCTATGAACATTACGATAAACACGCCAGCTACGATCCCGACAACGAGGAGATGGACATTGGTGCCGCCATGTCCTTTGGTACTGGCCCTGATGTCGACCTACTGGGGTTGAGCTCTCCTCCAAATGAGCTACCTAATCCGAACCGATTCGAGCTCTCCCGCGGGCG